CTGGGGTGCTGGGAAGCAGAAGTGGGGGAAGTGGTCGTCGTCGGCAGGCTGGAGTGGTGGGCAGTATAAGGAAGACGCCGTCGACCTCACCAAGGACAACGGCCACCTGCAGTCGGGGGGGTATGCTGCGGCCATCGCCATCCTCCAGAAAGCTGCCGAAGCGTCCGGAGGAAAGGTGCAGGTTCCAGAGGAGTGGCTCGCCGTTGCCAAGCTGGTGCCTCCTCCTCCTCCTCCTCCTCCTCCTCCTCCTCCTCCTCCTCCTGCTCCTCCTCCTCCTCCTCATACTTCCTCCGCCCTCCTTCCTCCTCCCTCCTAGCTCCTCCCTCCTCGCTCCTTCTCCTCCTCCTTCTCTTTCTCGTGCGAGGAGGAGGGGAATGGAGGATGGAGGATGGAGGATGGAGGATGGAGGGGGAGGAGGAGGAAGAGGAGGAGAAGGAGGAGGAGGAGGATCGGTGTCGACGTGGCTCGCGTCGTCGTCGCCTGCTGCGCCGTCGCCGTCGTCATCGCTCGTGTCGTCGTCGTCAGCGTCGTCGTTGTCGTTCGCGTCTTCGCCGTCTTTCGCATCGCCGTGGTTTGCGTCGTTGTTTGCGCAATCGCGTGCAGCATTGAGGCCTTGATATACAGGCAAACCCAAAGCAACGAATCATCGACTTCGCCCTTGTTAGAAACGATGCTGCGCCTCGCTATGCGTCACCATTGCCACCACCGACAGCGTCTTTACAATATGTTGAATACGTCCAAACACGGGCGTCGTCATCACTCTGCTGGTGTTGCGAGAGAACAAATGGGCCCTGCATCCCGCTTCGCTTACGCAGGCTGGCAGCCATTTCCACAAGGCAGCAACCGATTGAACCCCATCCTCAGCGCTGTCGGGGCACATCACGGGGTTCAGCTCGCAGAAGCGATCCATAAGGGTATAGGCCTCATGGCACGCACGAGCGTCAAAAAGATGGGTGGAAGGGTCACGATTGCCAACCGACTAGCTAATGCAATTTCTCGTTCGCTTGATGGGCCCACACTATCCCAGCCTTCTCATTCTCGTCCTCGTCTCTCCGTTCTCTGCTCACTCCCATCATGACCTTCACATTCATACTCGCCATCGTCGTCACCATCGCCATCATCACCATGAGCATCATCGTTGCGGTCACCATCATCGTCCTTTTCGCCTCACCTCCTCCTCCTCCCTCCTCCTCCTCCTCCTCCTCCTCATCATCATCATCATCATCATCATCATCATCATCATCATCATCATCATCATCATCATCATCATCATCAATCATCATCATCATCATCATCATCATCATCATCATCATCATCATCATCATCATCCCATGCGCCGCATGCTCGAAACTTGTGCTTCCCCTGGGTCAACCCATGTCCCGCCCCATCTGCACCGAACGACATTCACAGCGACTCCCAAGAGCTGGCCGGCCTGTGCTGAGCGCATGTTGAGACAGGTGGCACGCAAAGGGGATGATGGTGGCATGAGAAGAGAAGAAAGAAGACTGTCACGCGATGAGTACTCAAATGAGCATGAGTGCACAAGCATGTGCACGCGCGCGTTCCAAGTGTGGATGCATGAGCGGGCGAGTGCGACCTCAACCTCGCAAGCAAACTGCTGCCGCACATACGGGGAAGATTCCATTGCTCGCACACTACATGATCGGCGATGTGCGCGAAATATGCCTCAGCCGAAATGTGTCTATGCGTGCGTGCGGGTGTGCGCGTGTGCGGATGTGCACGCGAATGCGTGCGTGAGTCTGTGTGCTTGGGCGTGTGCATTGGATTGTGCGTTTTGTATGTGGCGCGCTTGCAAATTGCATCTGCGTGTAGATGCGTGCGTATGCATGCGTCCACTGAATTTCCGCTACACGACCGGTTCGGGATTTGTCGGTGGAAGGTAGGTACGGCCTCGAGTCTGAAGTTCTCGTTACCACCTCCTTCTCATCAGTCCCAAACCACAGCTACTGGCCCAACTAGCTCCATCATGTTCTCCTGACGGGCTGATTTGAGTCTTGTGTTATCCCGAGGAGGATCTGATGCAGGCAAAGAATGCGGGCAGCTTCCAAGCTCGTCAAAAGGACGAGCATACCATCGACGGGTGCACTCGGCACATCGTCAGTGATGTTCCCCAAACACATCAAGCAGCATGTCCGAAAAAAAAACGACAAATGTGACGTCCCCGCAATTCTGGTCCAGAGGCTCCACTCGCATGAGCACGTGAGGTGGAGTACATTGGGGCTTGAAAGTCTACTGGGAGATACCTTGAGGCGGAGTTCGTAGATGCCTGCCAGAACAATAATACACGGAACCAACCGACCATGATCGTCAGGACACGGGCTGATCTCAAACGACTGCGATTGAATGTTGAACTCTTAGGGAAGAAGCGTCACAAGCATAGCGAGAAAGTACTCCCCACATACGGCCTGCTTCGAGTGCCCTGAAAACGAGAGTGGCGTCATGTCCTGGGGACACATATTTTACTTCCGCTGGCGTTCTCGACCTGTTTCCGGCTTCTTCTGGCGGAGCCGCCTTCGTTTTACTTCCGCAAGCTTCCGCCGCCTTCTGCAGCAGAAGAGAAGTCAACTTCCCGATTCCTGGGAGGCGAGGCCCTTACCAGCCAGCGTGCGAGCGAAGGCTTTTCATCTAGAGGCTCTACACCTCCCGCATCTACGGCGGGCCGCCTCCTTAGGCGCGCAGGCCCAAGGAAAAAGTAAGCCTCGCGGTAAAGAGTCGAAGGGAAAGCCCCTTCCGTCGAATCACTCCCCCACCCCCAGGAGAACTGGTGTACGCGTGTGGCAGACACGGATTTGGGGGGATGTGGGGGGAGGAGGAGGCTAGTGGAGTTCCAGGGGGACTCTGGCCAACTTCGGCGATCTCTGGGCCACCCGGGGCTCACTGCAGCAATCTCGGGCCAAGTTGGGCGAACTGCAGACTAGCCTCCTCCTTCTCCTCCTCCTTCTTCTCCTCCTCCTCCTCCTTCTCATCCTCTTCCTCCTGCTCCTCTTCTTCCTCACCCTCCTCCACCTCATCCTCCTCCGCAGCCATTTCGGCTCAAGATTGTGAGGTGGCCGTGCCTGGCACGGACGCCGCTGATCCGTGGACAGCTCCCGACTTTTCGCCTGCCCGCTCAGCCTGGACCCCCACACGTTTGCCAGTGTGAGGTCGCTGCCTTTCTTGTGGGCACATGGAGGAGCACAGCTTACGGCCCATACGGGAGCATCCATCGGCGAGGAATCGGAACACGATCTGCTCGGGTTGCAAGGGCCGGGTCTGCACCTGGAAGCTGGAGCACCCTGGGGGCTAGTGCAGCAAGTGCCAGGGGATCAGCACGGACTGGATGCCAGAGCGGCCAAGTCTCGACTAGCTGGCGGTGCGCAAGGGTAGGACTACGAGGGGCACCCCACCATGGCGCAAGGAAAGGGGTGCATGGCTCCCTCGCGGAGCTCAGCGCGCTGCTCGAGAAGGTCGAGGCAGATCAAGCGGCTTCCCCCCCAAGGTCGAAGGTCGTTGCTCACATTCCCACTCCCCCCCCCATGCTGGTTCCAAACTTTTCCCATGCGTCCATTTCCCCCATTCGCTGTTCAGACCTTTTTCATACTTTCCAAACTTGTTTAATGTTTCCAATTGTCGGGCAACTCACACTCTAGGGGGCCACATGCGAACCCTACCCCTACCCCCCACGATTTCTGAGGGGGAGGGTGGGGTTCACTCCGCTCGGGAGCTCCCGAACGAAGTGAACCCCACCCTCCCCCTCAAAAACCGTGGTGGGTAGGGGCAGGGTTCGCACGTGGCCCCCATACACTCGTACTTCCGCTTTTTCCCTGCAGCCGCACTTTTCCACATTTCGGCTTTCCCCCACCTGGCTCCCGGGCTGTTCAGACCTTTTGTCATACTTTCCAAGCTTGTTTCATGCTTCCACTTGTCGGGCAACTCACGCTCGGACTTCCGCTTTTCCCTGAAGCCGCACTTTTCCAGATGCTTCGGCTTTCCCCCGCCTGGTCCGCGGGCTGCCTGCCCCGGGGCGCCACACCTCGAGCCCGTGGAGGCCCGCTGCCCCTCGAGGTGTGCCTGCCGCAGCAGCGGCTGGCGCGGGCGGCAGCACCCCCGAGCGGCAGGAGAGAGGCACCCACGGAGCCCCCGCGCTGCGCCGGGCGCTCCACGGGCTCCACCGCCTTGCCAGGATCCTCCGCATCAAAAGCTGAGAGAACGCACGCCGAATACACAGCACACCCGTCGTGGAGACAATTCGAATTAGCGCGCGCAGCACAGCTTCTGTAAACAATGATAGACGGCAGCCCTACTCCGATTCGCCATTTGATACCGGCACAATTCCAACGTTCACAGCCGCACCCGGAGCACTTTTTTGGTCGGCGGGGCGAGAGCGAACCTCTTCCGCTAAAAGCTAAGCAGGCTACGCACAGCTTTAACTACAGTGGAGGCGTTGACCTAAGGAACCCTAAATAAGGAGCGAGGCCCCTTTTCTCCACAAGGTAAACTTCGATTTCCCATCGAGAACATGAGGAAAACCTGAGGCAAGCTGCGAAACACTTAAGGAACGCGGAGCCCCTCCCCAACGAAAAGGGTTCCTTCTTCAGGGCCCCGACTGTAAAAGCTAGGCGGGCTACGCACAGCTTTTGACTAGGGATCGCACCCAGGGCACGCTGGAGCCAACCACGGCGCAGCTCCTGGACGCGGGGCGCAGGCGGCAGGGGCGGGGCGAGAGCGAACCTCTTCCGCTAAAAGCTAGGCGGGCTACGCACAGCTTTTGATTAGGGATCGCACCCAGGGCACGCTGGAGCCAACAGCGGCGCAGCTCGTGGACGCGGGGCGCAGGCGGCCGGCGGCAGAGAGCAAGCACGACGAAAAGCTTCGGAAGAAGCCGCCGACGCCGTAGAGGACCGTCGGAACATCTCCTCCTCCTCCTCCTCCTCCTCCTCCTCCTCCTCCTCCTCCTCCTCCTCCTCCTCTTCCTCCTCCTCCTCCTCCTCCCCACCCAGGAGACGAGTGGAGGATCCCAGAGGTGGGGGACTTGTTCAACGATGCCGACGACCGTGAGGAGGCGGACCAGCAGCAGCTCCAGAAGCTCGGGTCCGACATAGAGGAGCTGGACAGGTTGGCCCGAGCTGCAGCCCAGCAGTTCCATAAGTTCAGCGGGATCAGCGAGATAGAGATGCAGGCCACGACGCGTAAGCGGGTGCAAGCCAAAACGAGGAGGAGGGTGCGTGAGGAGGGTGCGTCGGAACCCACCGCGGAGGACACCCAGCCACCCGCTGCTGCAGCGGCAGCGGCCGCGGAGGAATTCAGGCCGCGCGCAGCAGGCGAGCAGTGTCCAGAGCACGTCGCAAAGCGGAAGGGGCACATTGCGAAGCTCAAGCAGCAGGCGGACACCAAGGCTCGAGGTGCATAACGAGGCGCATCATCATCATCATCATCATCATCATCATCATCATCATCATCATCATCATCATCATCATCATCATCATCATCATAATCATCATCATCATCATCAACATCATCATCATCATCGTCGTCGTCGTCGTCATCATCATCACCATCATCATCTTCATCTTCACCCTCATCCTCATCCTCATCCTCATCCTCATCCTCCTCGTCATCATCATCATCAGCATCATATCATCATCATCCTCCTCGTCATCCTCCTCGTCATCATCATCATCATCATCATCATCATCATCATCATCATCATCATCATCATCATCATCATCATCATCATCATCATCATCATGAGGGACGGCGGCCGCAAGCTCTGCTGAAGGTATTCCTGGCGTTACTGCTGCCGGTGGGACCTCGAATATCACTCAGTGGGGCCCCGAGGTCCACAAGCGATGCACGGACATGAGACAGCAGGGCGCACAGATAAAGAACTACCTGCTAATGATGGGGGACGTGGCCTACCTGCACAAGGGCCAGCTGCAGCTGCTAACCGACCAGACGGAGAAGCACCTGGCCACCTGGCCACATCCCACGCGAGGAGCATCACGACGGGGAAGAAGGAGTTCACCAGTTGGGCCAAGAAGGCGTGGAAGAGCAAGTCTGGCGTGCCACACCGACATGTCAAGCCCAAGGAGGAACAGAAGCACGAGATCTGTTTCGGACACCATCGGCATCGCGGACCCCGCGGACATGCTTACTGTGTCCAGCAAGACCACGCTCATCGGCACGAACATCACGAAGTGCAAGGAGGCAGCCAGGAGACTGCGTACCTGCGATGGCGGCGCGCACTGCAGTGGACCTTAATTTGGGTACGGCGGATGGTCGCAAGAGAGTGGTCAGTAAGAGTAGAGCCAGGCAGCAACGACTTCGCAGAGTTGCTGCATTGGCTCATGAATCGAAGGTCTTGTTCAACGCTGGTGCTGTTCCTCAAGCTATCTATGGGCATCAAACGTTCGGGATGGCACCGGCAGCGATTCAGCTGTTGCGACGCCAAGCAGGAAGGATCGCTGGCTTCAAAGCAGGTGGGCGCTGTCTTACAACCTCTCTTGCCATTGAGCTGGGCATGTGCGACCCAGGTATTGACTTGAGAATTCCGGTATGACGCAATTGACTTCAGCTGTGGCAGAAGTGTCCCAGATACACGCGAGGGTGTCTCAAGCTTAGCCCCTCATCAGGAAAAGATTGCAGAAACTTGGACCCAAGCGATGGCGACAAGTTCGTGGACCCATTGCTGCGCTGCAGGCCACGATAATGGATGCGGGATGGAAACCGACGATGGCGAATCGGTGACATCGACCCGATGGCGACAGCATGGACGAGTGGCTCATTCCTGACAGCATCGACGGCACCTTCGTGGACACGGGATGCCTCCAACCTCTGCTGAACGAGTTCGAGGCTGACCTCAGAAGAGAGACTTGGACAATCGTGTCGAGGTATGCGCATGGTGAAGGTCTGCAGGAGGGTGATGATCTGTGGCCGATGGTTGCTCAAGTTTGAACGCCAGGGTCTTCTCGACATGCAGGGCCTCAATGTCACGGTGGTTGCTGGAGGCCAGTGGCCAACGGATCGTTGCGTTCAGTCAGGATATGCGCTGCAGTCAGACGAACGCGCCCGTTGCGGCGGAAAGAAGGAGAAAGAGAGAGAGAGAGAGAAACAAATCAAACCAAATCAAACAAGACGTTGAAGCATAGAATATGATGTACTGCCCCACCAACCAGGGAGCGTGAGGATTACGATAAGACCCAGTCTTTTGTCGCAGCAGCGCAGGCACAAGCTGAGGCCGAGCCAGCGCTCTGGCTGCGAAGCTTCCCACCCTCTCACCTCACCCATCCCTTTTCGATGAGGGGGCGTTGGAGGGGCGGGAGTTACCGAGGGGGAAGACGGAGGACGTCGATCGCGGCCCCACTGATGGGACCCTGCTTCTGTTCGGCGACGGCTCGGGGGGAACGTGGACTGGCGACCCCAGGCGCCGCAGATGCGGAGCCTCGCCTTGCGCCAGCAGTTGGGCAGGCAGCGAACGGATGCTCACTGCCGCAGCGGCCATACTAGGGAAACGAACAGTGACATAAACATAAAAACTCGGAGGTCCGCGCGGATTTCTCGGATCGGCGCTGGACCCCCCTCCCTGGCGCGCGGAGCGCGCCAGGGGCGGCGCCGGAGGCGCCGCCGGGGGGCCCCAGCGCCGATCCGAGAAATCCGCGCGGAGCTCCGAGTTTTTATGTCGATGCCACTTTTTGTGGTGCCCCTACACCCTGCGAGATGCTTAAGAAATCATGGGTTGAGAAATTCATGGTCTCAGAACTTGAATAAAACCCAGAACTTCTATCCAAATCTTGGGATTTGCACTGGGACTCTGGGCGAAAACCTAGGGTTTTCTTAAGCATCGCCTAAGGCGTACTTGGGGAGGCGAGCCTGCCCCGTGACGGGCGCCGGGCGGTCGGCAGCTGCGACCCCGCGGCCGCCGGCGAAGCCCCCTGCCAGGAGCCCGCCGGACGGCCCCGAGGTCCGAGACCTTGGCCTCTGCAGCGGCGTGGGCGGCGCTCCGTGGCCCGGTCGCCTCGCCCGTGGACCAGCAGCACGGCCAGAAGCACTGGGCGCGGGGGCTGCCTCGACCCAGCGCCACAGGCGCGAACGAGCACGCCTGGGCGAAAGCCTGCACTGCCTGGCCCGGCAGGCCCGACTTCACCCGCCTCGAAGGTATCTCTCTATCTCTATCCCTGAGACTGACACGCCCCAAGGCGGCGACAATCTTGGGGATTCGCCCTCCAAAGAGGGAATCCCCAAGATTGGCATCGTGATGAGGAGGTGCCCAGCATACTGCAGGTTCGTGCTGTGTCGACCCTGGCGTTGGTTCCTGACACCGCGCTGGATCGTTCAACCTTGAACGATCGGCCGTCTCCGCAACGTCCAATCGTTCAACATCGACCGATTCTGGGCCGCCGTCGGCGTTCAACCTTGAACGCCCGCGCTGGGGTCGCCGCTGGTCGACACGACGCAAACCTACCGTAGGGATAGGGATAGGGAAACACAAATAACTACGCACAAATAAAAAAAAAATCCTATATTTTCCTATATTTTCTGGGTTTTGCCTTCCCCCCCACTTCCCATATTTTCCTATATTGTCTGGGGAATCGACGATTCATCGTGTCTGTGTGGGTTTTCCCCTCCTGACGCTCGCAGTGAAAGGGGCCCCGGGGCTGCCGGGAGCTCGCGAGCTGCTCCCTGCCGCTGGCTGTTCTGTCGCCGATCCGTGGGCGAGGGAGGGGTCGGAGTTGGCGTGGGAGCTCGGGCCCGTGGGACGGATGCCGGGTACATACCATACGGATGACCGTGCCCAACAAGGAACTCAACGCGCGCCCGTCCAGGGCCCGCCGCGGGCCACGGCCCTCGACGCCCTCCCGGGGCGCGGTGGGTTCGGTCCCGATTGGTAGGCAAGCACTGAGTGATAGCGCACCTGGTCCGCAGAAGGGCCAGACGTGCTCTGCGCAGGCGGAGGCGCCGCACGCAGAGGTGAGCGCCAGTCTGTCAGGCATGCCGGGTTTTCCGAGAAGGAGCTGGCTTTCGCCATGTCCTCCCACCGACCTGGGGAGGTGGGGGCGGGGTGGAGGTGTGTTCGCTGTCATCCGGCGGTGCCGGGCTCCAAGTCTCTTCGGCTCGCGGCCCCCACGCGTCCTGGGCATCCCACGTCCTCCAGGAGAGATGGCCAGCGCGAGGTCGCGCCTGACGCCCAGCAGGGCGCGAGCAGCTTCCACACCTTGCACAGTATCTCGTATGCTGGGCGTTGGTTGCCTTCTTTCTGCTCCAAGTGTGGCCTGTTTGCCGCGGTGAACCTCAGACACGTGGTCAAGCCATGTTTGGGTATCACCCCGGACGGGGTCGAGAGCCTCAAGAGAATTCAGAGAAGTGCTTCCGATGAGGGAGGGCCCCCCCAAGGCGATTTTGGAGGCAATGGCGGCGCGAGATAACGTGATCAGGGCTCAGCTGATCAGCGCTCGTGGCCCCCTCCTCCTCCTCCTCCTCTCCTCCTCCTCCTCCTCCTCCTCCTCCTCCTCCTCCTCCTCTCCTCCTCCCTCCTCCCCCCCTCCTCCCCCTCCTCCTCCTCCTCCTCCTCCTCCTCCTCCTCCTCCTCCTCCTCCTCCTCCTCCTCCTCCTCCTCCTCCTCCTCCTCCTCCTCCTCCTCCTCCTCCTCCTCCTCCTCCTCCTCCCCTCCCGCCCAGCTGGCTCAGAGCCGCGGCAACGCTCCGGGTGAGGAGCCAGGCAAGCAAGCAACGGCAGCGAGCGCTTTGCTGCCGCTGGTACGGTCGGGAGGAGTGCTTTTGCCTTCGGCGATCCCGACGAACCTCAAAGGAAGGTCAGATAGTCGGTCTCGTAGTCGGACAAGGGCCCCTTTTTCATAGCAGTCCATCCCAGTCCACCACCTCCTCCTCCTCCTCACCCTCCTCCTCCCCTCCCTCCTCCTCCTCCTCCTCCTCCTCCTTCCTCTTCCTCCTCCTCCTCCTCATCATCATCACCACCAGCAGCAGCAGCAGAATCATCATCATCCTCCTCCTCCTCCTCCTCCTCCTCCTCATCATCATCATCATCATCATCATCATCATCATCATCATAATCATCATCATCATCATCATCGCCATCATCATCACCATCATCATCATGACCACCAACAGCATACTCATCATCATCAACCTCATCATCATCAGCAACATCATCATCAGCATCATCATCGTCATCAGCATCATCATCATCACCGCCATCAGCATCATCATCAGCAGCAGCAACATCATCATCATCATCATCATCATCATCATCATCATCATCATCATCATCATCATCATCATCATCAACGTCATCGTCATCATCATCAGCAGCATCACTAGCAGCAGCATAATCATCATCGTCATCACCATTACCATCATCATCATCATTATCATCATCATC